GATTTAAAAAATTTTCAACGTCCCCAAAAGTTACGAAAATAATAATGGCCACAAAAACAAAAGTTATATTACGCGAGAAGGTCAAAAGTTACGAAAAATGTTATAAATGCAACATTGGCCACACGAGGTGTGACCAGACGGACGCCCCGTACAGGTCCACGTATCGCAACCAGTGCAATGCACCCGCCACCCTAAAGATGCGGGGAAGTAAGCCCTGGAAGTGCTCCTTAAGATGCCAGCGCTCGTCCAGGATGAGGCCCACGTACTTTAAGCACCTAGATGTAGATGTCACCAACGCGAATCGTGTAACTGGGCGGTTACCTTCCTAGCGAGAGATTGTGAAACCACAGCGCCTCAATTTTCTGCGGCGCTACTCGCAAACCTAGCTTCTCGATTTTTTCGACGACGCGAGAAACTTCGAGCTCAGCGAGCTGGATGGTCCTTTCGAAGTCCATTAACCCAACCAACCTAACGCGGGCTGCGGTAGGCGATGTCGCTGCAATTTTTATTCGTGTTTGTGATCTTTGTGTTAAATAACAAACAAAACATATTATGAATATCATGGTAGTAAAAAACGGGCGTTTGCTCATGCTCCTACTGGCTACTCCCACTAGGAGCCCTCGTTTGCCCTCGTCAATATGTCCTTATGCTCCTATCGTGACGTCATCGTATCCAAATAAGACATCATGATATTCAATAAAATAAATGATGATGTCTTATTTTAAGGAACGGTTAACACCTGTCAAAGCTATAGTTGTTATTTGAAATGACAAATGTTGAAATTATATATATTTTCCCTTTATACTAAGTAACACTTGTGTAAATATTATATGTAAATATATATGTTGTACTTGTAAATATATATGTTGTACTTGTGTAAATATATATGTTGAGTGTGAGCGTTATTAAATATTATCAAATATAAAATTTTTGACTCTGTAAGAAAACCGCCATATGTTGTTAAAAATTATATAGTAGAACTGTCACGAGGTTCATTACTTAATTATAATCTGATCTGATCTCCAGCCCCCCTTATATTATTTTCTATTCCCATCGGATCCCATATGCAGGGGATCAAAAATAAATGTTTACATTTTATTCCCACCTGATACCCTGGTACTCCCGAACTTATTTTTGGTAAGTACCATGATACAGTCAACAATAAAATGTATTTGTAATTATACTTCAACGTTCAAGGTCTTTACCCCTTTGTTATTTTCTTAAAACAAATACAATTTGTGCATAAAATAAGACGTGGTGCACATTGTTCATCAATTAAAAAGTTCAAAGCAAAATTACGATTTAAAATTTTACTTAAGACTGATTTTTTGCTACTAATTGTGAAATGTGAATTGCTATAATATGTCTATATTAATGACCTGTCACAAAAACATTTATTGTCTGCGATATTTTTAACATTTTGACAGTTGCTCAATAATTTGATATTTTATTTTAAACTTCTTTTTATCTTGACTATACTTCCCTTACAAATACAGTGAAGGGATCCGTCGGATTTAAAATTGGTGGCGATTCGCCAAAGTTAAAGACGATCAGATAGGAATAACTCAAGGTTGAATAATATGTAGTCTATACAATGTGTTAACAAACTGACGTCAATACTTTGACAGTAATTAATTCATATTTGTACAACTGTAAACCTCCTCTTAGTAATTATAACATTAACAAATAATAACCAATTTCAATCGAAAACTAAACAAGTCGAATATAACACGTGATTAGCAAATATCCATGAGTGTCTCGCTACCCCAGGGAAAGGGCGTTTTTTATGATATCAAGCGACGGGACGAAGAAGTCATGCGCCTGGTGGTAAGCGACACGCTTGTCCATAACAGTTACGGCGCGTGTGCACGCTAAGGAATTCGACGTGTCTGCTACAGAAAAGATGAGAATGGTCTTGACACGACAAGATCTTTGTCGGATTTAGCCACGAAAATATTATTATGTCGTGTCTGTTGCAGACAAGAAAATGATGAGTAGTTATGTACACGATACGAATGCTTTCGGGCAGACGTGTGTAGGGTAAACGTGTCAGTGCATTAACGAGTTTTCAGGTAGCTGTCGTTTTACTACTGACTGTGGGAAGAAACATGTTGACTACTAAACAAAAAAAAATGGCATATTATATAATATGCAATCACCATTTTTTTTTATTATTTCGTGTAGATCAATTTATAAGAAAAGAAGATACAAGAGAATTTACTGAATTCATCCAATTTTGCAACAAAAAGATGAGTTTGGTACCCTCTATCTTACACTGCCACAACATGAGGAAAAGTTTATCAAATATTTCATTTTTTTCTGTAATTTGTCATTTCTTGAAAATCTTTATTAAGAATAATGAACATTTCTCTCCATGCCTCAAAAGTACGTCATTTATCTTTATATTGAAGATTTCTTCCAAACACTCCAATAAAATGCCGTGTTAACCAAACTAATTTATTAAATTATCTATTCCTCCAACAATAATTAATATTAGAACTTAAAAATATACTCAACAAAATTTGTAACCACAAAATACCGTTATAATTCCTGACCAATCCAATTTGAACATTTGATGAAATACCAATGCTTAAATTTTTCTTTCACCTAAAGACATTGACTCCTAAATCCCTTCTTTTTCAATTCCCGCCATTATTTCGCAAGTAAGGAATTTTAAAACCAATGTCATTGGTAGTGTCTTTGTATTAGGTCTTTCAACGACTTTTTAGTCGTCGTAATGAAAATATTTTTTCTATTTTACGATTATATATTTCTTACAATAAATCTCTAAGGTTTTGTGCCACAATACAGGCCGTTCCTCTACTAACTTTATAAATAAATCATACATTTTATTAGTCGCAATAAAATTTGTGGTGCAACAGTAGTGGTAATTTGCAACACCCATCCACGCGCATTAACATTCGTTTACTGACAATGCGCCCCATACAATAGCGGCAGAGCGCGTCGAGTTGGGGGTAGACACGACGCCGAGTCTGTCGAGGCTGTCCGGCGCCGAGGCAGTGTACACAGTGCGTGTGTAGAAACGACACGAATTCTTGCATAGACCCGGCAACTTTTCTTAGCGTGGACACGCACCCACAGAACCACTCGGAGCTTTGAATGACATAGATCTGAGTGGCATTGCCACTGCGCTCGTCATTCGGAAACATAAGTTGACAAGGCCCTTGTGCCTCTAATTTCACTATAGTCCATTTCACGTAGCATGGATACGGTGACGTTTGAGATTTGAAGTTCTGGAAACTGGATGTAGTGATGTAAAATACATTGAAAAGAAAATCGATTTAAATATCTTACCGAAAAAATTTGTAACGAAGAGAGATTCGATTTAGAAACTATAGTTTAAGACAGGATTTCAATTTTTATGATATCAAGGTACAGGGCGAAAAAGTCATGCAGCTGGTGGTAAGCAACACGCTTGTCCATAACAGTTGCAGAACCACTCTGGGCTTTAAATCGCATAGATCTGAGGGGCATTGCCACTGCGCGCGTCATCCAGAAACGTTGCCAACTACAAGTCCCATTAACCCACTGCGTCCGATCTGTATCAGGGGCTCTACTCCTGTCTCCGTCCGACATCCGTCCGAAATAATTGCTGTCAAATAAGTAATACTCTAGTCCAATAATGAGAGGTTGAAGGGAGTGGATCAGTGCGTCTATCTCGGACATGTTCTATTCTTTGGCAAAGAGCATCAGTCTAAGGAGATCTCAAAAAGAATTCAGCTGGGACGAAAGTTCAGGATGCTGGAACTCGGATCATGGAACTCAAAAGGGCCGAGGCAGGACACTTAGCCCGACAAGTTGATGACAGGTGGAGCAAAACTGATTGGTGGCCGAGGATGGGGAAAAGAAGCGCCGGGCGCCCTGTTGCAAGGTGGGTCGACGACATAGTATGCGTCGCGGGGCGTCAATGGATGCGGCTATCGCGGGACCGTGGTGGATGGCACAAACTTCGGTAGGCCAATACCCTATGGGTGAAATCAGGCTGTGAATGATGATGAGGAAGTAATACTCGACAAAATTGAAAGAAGAAAAAGAAAGATGCATGATGCGAATGAAGCTTAATACTTGACGTTGTCTTTTAACTTGGTCGAATATTACTTATTGGACAGTAATTGTTTCGGACAATCGGATGTCGGACGGAAACGAGAGAAGACCCCCTGTTCCGAATATGAGAAATGACTTTGCCGAGTCACAATAAAAAAAAATAAAAAAAAATAAATAAATAAAAAATTTAAAAAAATGACTTCTGTCGCTGTTAATTGTCATTAAGTTTTTATTAAACGTCAGGATGTTCCACTACCATGATGTTCAATTTTTGTGAAATTGCTCCACTAGTTATTGTAATTATTTTTTTTGTATTAATCGAACACTTAGAAAAAAATCCTTCTATCTGGCCGGATTCGAACCGACGTCTCCTAAAACTGTGCCAGACGCTATGCAATTGAACGAACCAGCGGACCTCACGAGTTTTTCTATGTACTTGTTGTCGGATCTACGTTTTTGGTTTTTAACAAAAATTTTATAATAAAGGTTCGTACGTGGATGACAAAAATCCGTGGCAGTGACCCGTTTAGCTCTTGCAGGTATTCTTGAACTAAAATGTTAGCAATAAGTATTGTTTATGATAAATCTATATTTACAAAGAGCAAGGCCGAGAGTTTCTTGCTCATTCGTCTCAGGGGAATCTGCCTTACGAATGAGCAGTAGAGTTTATTCTGTATGACGATTTCAAGTGTAATTTGCTTACCTATGAAATATTACTTAGAGTTTGCTCAATTAAATTGTCAAGTAAACTAGTCAGGCTTTCCATGTTTTTTTAATTAGGTATGTGTAAAAGACATCTGAGAACATTGAACCTATCAGACCGGGGATTTAAAGGAAAAAAAACAACATTTTATCATGAAGAGTTTTATTTAAGTCAAACCAATATTTTATTGATATTTTACGTTAAATGCAAATTGACGATAATAATAAAGTGAAGGGTACATTAATAAAAATTTTGGGAAATATTACGTACCTATATATAGAATATTCAAGAAGCATGACACGTGTCATACCTAATAGATCCTACCTGCATGTAGGTACAATCAATGCACATGTTTTTAGGCACACTTCTTTTGTTTTAAAATTATTCTGGTTGCCAAAGCATCCTCCGTAAGGGAATAACTGGCATTTTCTCGCCGTTTTGTTCCAATAATATCTGAAAACAATCAATTAAAACAAACATTAGAACGTCTTTGAAAATAACATTGGCGTCCGACTCTTTTTCTTCCTGTCCTTATCCCACGCTAGTTGGGATCGGCACAACATGTAATTTTCTTCTACTCTCCTCCTCCGCTTTCCGCTATCAGCCGTCATTTCCATACTCACACCTTTTTTACCCATGTCATCTTTCACACAACCCATCCATCTTTTTTGGCCTTCATCTTTCCCGTCTCTGGCGCCATTTTCAAACTTCCGCAGATGTACTCAATCCTTATCTTATCCTTTCTCGTCACTCCACACATCCACCTCAACAGCGCATTTCCGTTTCATGTACAGTTCGTAAATCCTCCCTTTTTATCGCCCAACATTCTGATCCCTACAGAACGACAGGTCTAATCACGATCTTGTATATTTTCCCAGTTAGCTTAAGGTGCATTCGGCGATTGCCAATACTGCCTGTGCCCTGTCGCCATTTCATCCATCCTGCAGTTATCCTGTTCTTTACGTCCCCAGTCTATCTCGCCGTCGTTCTGTATCAATGAACCGAGGTACCAAAAATCCTTGGCGGCCGATTGTAAGATAATCAAAGTAAATAAAACAATAACACTTTTGTTGCAATAATATATGCAAAAGCAGCAAGCAAAACAATCTAAAGGTCATCTTTTTTAATGATTGATTCCTTTTCTCTGAGGCAAAATAAATTAAATCTATGGGTAGATATTTTAATCTGTACTGAGCTACGAAAAAAATGTTTGATTTGTTTAGATTAACTTTGATAGTTTTATATTGGACCTCAAAACTAAGCATTAAAAATAAAATTTAGATACTTATATTTAAAACTAAAGTAAAGGCTGATATTTGTATACTACGGTCATTCTCGGACTAGTGTTCGCTACCTAATTTCCGTGGCAATTGTTATTGTTTAAACATTCAACTATATTATATAAGATTTCACGATACAATACTCGAATATTAAATAATATCGATAAAAAAATCCAATAGTTATGTAATGAAAATTACCACGGAAATTAGGTAGTGAACACTAATCTGAGAATGACCGACTAACATAATCGGATCGACGAAAACATGTTCCGAAACGCAAGCAAATTGGCTTCTGGCACTCAGCGGCCACCGCCACGGCACGCCCGCTCCGCTAACTAACCTACTGAATGGAGGGCGCAACCAAGCAACCAAGATTTATTTAGGAGATCAATATCAAAATTTATACAGGTTATAAATGTCATCAATCATTAAAAGGAAACAACAATAATAAGAAAAGAGGATCATATCAAGTTTTTTTTTAATCCCGAATATTAATGGAGCATGCTTAAACATGTTTATAATTTATCCATAAATCAACTAATACAGATGAATCAATTAATAATCGTTTGTTTAAAAAAAAAACACTTTTACTATAGATCAGTTTATATCTTTAAGGATTAAATAATATTAACCCCTTACAAAATACCATAAGCTTAAAACATTGCCATTTTCAATCAAAAAGGCCCAAAAAGTAAAAAAATTTTTCATAATAATAAATACGTGTTATACATATTTTGAAAAACCATAGGTTTTAAACCTTGAACTAAAAAATATTTGAAAGTTTTATACTTCCAAATTGCATCTATTTTAAGTAAATAAATACCATTCTTGTGTTTTTTTTGAGATATCACTCCATTAGTTTTGTTATGATTATGATTACATTATACAGAAAAAAGTCAATCGTCGAATCCGGTTGGGCAGCTTTCGGGAAGCTCCGGGACGTCTTCTCGTCCACAATACCGCAGCAAACAAAAGTTTTCGAGCAATGCGTGTTGCCAGCGACGACTTACGGTGGTGACTTACTATGGGCCTTATAAAAAAGCTCAAAGTCGCTAACGAGCTATGAAGCGAGCAATGTTCGGCATTTCTCTACGTGATCGAATCAGAAATGAAGAGATCCGTAGAAGAACGAAAGTCACCGACCTATCTCAAAAGATTAGCAAGTTGAATTGGTAGTGGGCAGGGAACATAACTCGTAGAACTGACGGCCGTTGGGGCAGAAAGCTTCTCGAATGGAGACCACGAACCAGAAGGCGTTCAGTGAGACGGCCCCCTACTAGATGGATGGATGACCTGGTAAGGGCGGCGGGTACCCGATGGAAACACGCCGCGTTCGATCGACTAGTTTGAAATCTTTGGGGAGGCCTATGTTCAGCAGTGGACGTCTTCTGGCTGATATGATAATGATGACGAATACAAAGATCGAAAACACAGAAAAATTTGTGTTCACTAGCGGCGACGAATTCCGGAAATCAGTACTCAACGTATAACAAGAAACACGTAGGACAATTTCGACGACTCGGTAATTGGATGCGTGGCTTAGATGGTTAGAGCAATGCTACGGTGCAGCATGGACGTGGGTTCATGTCCCACTGGGTCGATGCAATTTTTTCTGTGTTCAATCTTTGTATTCATAATCCCAAAAAAATACCATTTTTGCTATTTGGATTCAATTCTCTATGGTATATGAATTAAATTCAATTTTTTTTTTTTTTTTTTTTTAAATTTGCCAGAATACAGTATATTACAGATCTTGATTTTGAATAGGTACAGTGTACTCAACCTGCAAGCAGGTGTGCAAATATTATAAAATTTAAACAGGTCTCTATTATTACTACATACTTTAAAAACTTATTAAAAATATGTCAATTTATATTAATGACCATTACTTGTAGCACAATCTAAATATTGCTTATTACTATAAAAGCAATGTGTCAAAAGCCATTTTGTCAATTGTGATTTAAATTTAGGTCCTTGTAGTAACTTAATATCCCATGGTAAATGATTGAATATTTGTATAGACATGTTGAACGAGTTATTCTCATACATTCCTTTATGGCAGCGAGGTTTAAATAATTGGTGCATAATTTTACGTCTTGTTTGTCTTTGAGTGATTTGACCGTGCGTTTTATAATGTTGAGGGTGATTCTTTACGAATATACATATATCCTTAATGTACATGCATGGCAAAGGCAGTATGTTTAAGTTTTGGAACAAAGGTTTACAACTATCATTTGACCACGCTCCGCAGATCGCCCGAATACACTTCTTCTGCACCTTGAAGGCTTTTTCTAGAGCTACTGAGTTGCCCCATAATACGATACCGTAACTTAGCACAGATGAAACGTAGCCGTGATAGGCCGTTAGTGCAGCTTCCTGAGAGACGGTTTGCCTTAACCTTCGGAGAGCGTAAACAAATCTATTTAGTTTTGCACATATTTGATCGATATGTTCCTTCCAATTTAGATGCTTATCGATGGTCAGCCCGAGAAATTTAAATGCGTCTACATTGTCCAAAGTAACCGAATTATATTGAATTTGTATTGGAATGGGATTTGAGTTGTATGATCTAAATGTCATAACTTTAGTTTTACTTAGATTAATTTTCAAGTCATTATTTTCCATCCAATTCATTACATCTGAAAATGCTTTATTTATGTCCATGTTGAATGTCGATTTGTTTTCGCATTTTATTACAAGTGTTGTATCGTCGGCAAATTGTATACAATTGTGATCAATAGCATGTGGAAGGTCGTTAATGTACAGAAGGAACAATAATGGACCTAGGACGCTACCTTGGGGAATTCCAGCATTAGTTGTTTTACCGTGTGATCTAAAGGTTTGTTTTTTTATTATGCTATTATATTTGTTTTTTCTGAGTCCGTCTATTTCTGTGTATTGTGTTCTATTTTTTAAGTAGCTTTCTAACCAATGAATGGCTGTTCCCCGAATACCGTAAAAGTCAAGCTTTTGTAAGAGTTTGGAATGATTGACAAAGTCGAAGGCTTTACTCATATCCAGAAAAACTGACATCACAGGCGTAGAGACGTTCATGCTTTCCGTTATAATGCGCGAGAATTCAAAACATGCAAGAGTTGTTGAGCTGTATTTTCGAAATCCAAATTGAGAATGGTTTAAAATTTTATGTTTGTCTAAAAATGAGTTGAGTCTGGTATGTAGAGCTCTTTCAAATATTTTGGATAGAGTAGGGATTAATGTAATTGGCCTATAATTACTGGGGGTCTCTTTATCGCCTTTCTTAAAAAGGGGTTTGACAACACAAGTTTTTAATTGTTCTGGAAAAAGACCTTCGGCAAAGGATAAATTTATTATGTGTGCAAGTGGATAACAGATATAAAGGGCGCTCAACTTAAGCATTTTTGTAGTTATACTGTCGTAACCACTGGATTTTGTGTTTTTTAAAGACATAATTATATTATAAATTTCCTTTTCGTTTACCGGTTTCAAAAATATTGTATGAGAATTTTTATTAAGTGAATTATGTGTAAATGTCAATTGGTTTTGGGTCAAGTTATCTTTGTTTGTCAACTTTATAAAATAATCATTAAAAATATTACAAATGTCTACTGGATTTGAGTATGTCTTATCATTATGTCGTATCTGTTTAATGTCATTATTGTGGATGTTATTAGATATTGTAGATGAAATGGTATTCCATGTCGCTTTACATTTGTTTTTATTATTCTGTATGTAAATATTATTATTTATTTTACGAGCAATCGAAATACACTTTTTTAAGATACTATTATATGTTCTAAAGTTATTTACGTTTTTTTGTTTGTTAGTTGCTGATGTTCTTTGTTTTAAATATAGTAATCTTTTTGTTTTGCAACATTTTTTAAGACCTTTTGTGAGCCAGAGTATTTTTTTACGCCTGTTGTTCATTTTAATTCTTAATATTGGAAAACAGAGCTCGTAAAATAGACATATTAAGTCATAAAAGTAGTCGAAAGCCAGAGTTAAATTGTCCGAGTCTAAAACTTCAGAAAAGGAAAGTGCCGAAACACATTCGCAGAATGTTATGTTAAGAAATTTTAAAAAACTAACCTGCGGTCATTGGCTTGACAAGGTCCTGAATTTGGTTCCAATTGACAAGACCCGGGATCTAGAAAAGAAATAAAATTGTAAAACTTCCTTTTCTTATTTAAGAGCTAGGCTCTGGTCGGTGAAGTAATCGCCAATCACCTATGTTGAGCGCTCTGACTTTGATTTTCTAAACGATATTACTTTAACTTTTCCCTTATCTGATCTAAATGTAATCTAGAAGCTTGACCTACCACCTCTCATGCAGAGGCCGTGGTTTAAAACTGGGCGTCAGTGCAAAAAATGTCACGTCAGTATGACAGCTCAAACTGGTTATTGTCACTGGCGCATAGTAGCGGCTATGCTGGCAGATCAAGAGTCTCATGAGGCAATGGTCTCAGTGGTGGAACTTTGGGGAGCATTTCCGGCAACTTGCTCCCCGAATAGTGGGCGCCGCATCGGCTTTGGGTCGGCTCCTGCCCAACCTCGGAGGCCCTATGCAGAAGGCTAAACGCCGGGGTGACCCGAAGTATGGCCTTATACGGGGCTCCCATTTGGAGTGGGGCCTTATCAGCGGCGACGAAATCGCTGCTTAGGAGGCCTCAGAGGGTGGTCGCCCTGCGAATGTGCAGGGCGTACATGACGGTGGACTGCGCTGCCGCATGCGTCCTCGACGGTACTCCGCCGTGGGACCTTGAAGCCGAGGTCCTGGCGGAGATCCATGCCTACCGGCGGGGAATGAGGGACCGAGGCGAGCGACCCGCTCCCCAAGAGGTCGAGTGGGAGCGCCGCCTCGCGGCGCAGCGCGTGCGCGATCGGTGGAAAGAGAGCTTGGCGGATCCCCCCTATAGAACTCGTATCATAGGGGCGATCCGTCCTGTCCTCGTAGAGTGGGTGAGCCGGTCCCACGAGCCACTGTCGTACCGCCTTGTGCAGGTGCTGACCAGGCGCGGCTGCTTCGATCACTACCTGCACAAGGTGGCGAGGAGGGAACCGTCCCGCGCAGCACACCTCTCTCTCGCTGCCGAGCGTGGTTGCCGCCATGCTCGGTAGCGAGGAGTTCTGGGAGGCGGTGGCCTCCTTTTGCGGAGAGGTTATTTCGCAAAAGGAGGCTGCGAAGCGGGTGCGCGAGGACGGGGGATACACGTTCGTCGTTTGCGTGTGACTCGAGATGGTGTCACTCTCAGTATGTTTTAAAGGCAGGAGTTGCCCTCTCCTCCCTTCCTAGCGAGATGAGCCCGGAAACGGGTAGGCACCGCAGGGTTTTGGTATAATGCTTCGGCGCCCCCAAGACCCAGCACATAGTGCAGAGACGGGTGCCGCGGAGTTTTAGTGAGTAGGAGTCTCACATAACCTTCTGTCCGTATCCTCAGGCGGAAGGTATCCATGATGGATTTCCCCGCGTAAAAAAAATTAATTTAAATTTTAAAATTTTCATCAGGCATCATGAGACCATTGCACTGTAAAATTACAATGGCAAAAATATTGTTCATAACAAGTATCAATGTGTTGCACGGTATTATTACTTAACAACAACCAAGCTGTTATTTTAAATTTAAAACGTGGTAATTTAAACATGAACAACCATTGCGAAGTAAACCTTCTTGCATTGGCTGTTAAGTGGCTATTTAAATGAAATATTTCTTGTTTGCTTCATATAAGAGCAATGAATAAAATATCATTACTTAAATTTCAAATAGTTCATACAAATCGTATATATAGTATTATAATAATGTAAAATACATAAACTAACAGGTGTCGCACGTGTCACGGCAAGCTTGTAATGTTTCAAAATTGTTGTTGTTGCCTTGGCATCCTCCGTAAATGAATTCCTGACATTCTTTCTCGTCGTTGTTCCAAAAGAATCTGAAATACATACATTAGACAACATCACACTCGACGCTCTGATCCCAAAATAAGTAACAAAAGCGCTTGTGTTATGGAATTCGGAATTACAGGCACTATAAACACCCAGATCCGAGATAATATAAAAAAGATTTTCTAACACGGAAGTCGTCAAGACAATCAATTTACACAAATAGAATCTTTAGTCTTTTTAAATATCTAATCAATAAACTCAATTCACTTAGTTCTTGTTTTGTATTGTATTCGTATTTTAGATATAAACAGATTATTCTCATTGAACATTTGTTTGACACGATCCAGAATTATAATATCTACGATAGTGGTTTGTCAGCTTCCCGTTAAATTCTATACTTACTTTCAAAAAGCTCAATAATTCCTATATTGTAATGATAAAAAACTAACCTTTTAAAGGCACCTCTACATGGCCCTGGCTCCGCTTCCAAAGTGCATAACTTTGGATCTAAAACGGAATAAAAAACAAAAATTACACAATTCTCAAAAATAGATTTTCTAGCTTATGGTAGTAAAAGCATTATGATATTCAATAAAATTACGTTGTAATATTTTAGACATAAACTCACAAGGGTTACAATTTTCTTGGCATAACATTTCTGTTCTGAAATTGTTCGCGTTGCCGCCACATCCTGAGTAAGTGAATTTCTGACAATTTTGCGTGGTTTCATTCCAAAAGTATCTGAAAGCAGTCAATGAAAACACACGAATTAGAAGATTGCTCTTTTATCTTTTTCTTTTTTTTAATATATAATAACCACACGCTTGGCCACAATCTCACCTGATGTTAAGCGACGATGTGACCGACGATGGGACGCGTTTGCCTAAAAAATGCCTATTCACTCTAGCTTTGAATAGCCCCAAATTGTACTTTTCGGGAAATACCGTTAGAGCATTCCATTCCTTTGCCGTACGCATCAGAAAGGAGGAAGCAAAGCGCTTAGTGCGAGTAAATGGTATATCAACAACATAAGGATGGAGTGTTCCGGACCTTCTAGCCGACCGAAGGAGAAACGGTGAGGGCGGAACCAAATTGAAAAGTTCCTGCGCACACCCCCCGAAATGTATCCGATAGAAAACCGACAACCAGGCTACTTTTCTGCGATGTTCGAGATTTTGTAGCTTCGACTCCACAAGAGAATTATTCTTACTAAGTCTCTTTGCTTTTCGCTGCACCGAGTCCAAGGCAGCTAACTGGTAATGGGCAGAGCCGTCCCAAAGGTGGCAGCAGTACTCCATACAGGATCGAACTTGTGCTTTATACAGATTTAAAAACTGTTCAGGTGTGAAGTACAGCCTGACCTTGAAAAGTATGCCTAGTTTTCTGGCAGCAGTTTCAATTCAAATAATTCAATCAATTATTTAATAATAATAACGCACACATTAGCAGTAGAGCAGAGCTCCTTGTGAAAGAGTTCGTCCAGGGAAGTGTGCTGGTAAAATTACAGGCACATGGGACTTGCCAACTTTGTTTCAGGGTGACGGGCGCTATGGCAGTGCCCCTCAGATCTTTGCGATTTAAAACTCCGAGTGACACTGCAACTGTTATGGACAGGCATGTAGCTTGCGCACGACTTGTTGGTCCCGTCACTTGATATTACAAAAGGATATTGTATTTAAAATATTGTAAATGAAACTATTTTTCCGGATTTAAATCGCGTATATTTGTTTTATCAAACAAAGCAACGTTTCGGGCCATAAACAGGTCTTATGGTCACGGTCGAGTGAGGTGCTAAAATCATCAACCAGTTATGTCTAATATTAATGCAAACCACCCTATTTTTTCACTATAGTTACAGAAGTTACTATCAAATACCTTATTTTTAATTTTACTACGAACATTCCAGTTTACGCTTCATCTGTTTTACAAATTATTTTATTTTAACAATATGAATTTTTATTAAGTTTGATTTATTATTAATTAATAATGGAAATTAGAATAAATTAAAACATAATAATCAGTACTACAGTCTTATGTCTGTTTGGGATTTTTCATCAGAGGAACGTTGGTTTGTTTGAAAAAGCAAATATACGCGATTTAAATCCGGAAAAATTGTTTCATTTCCTACAAAAACTTTAGTTAAGTTACAACGATGACTTTTTGTTGGAATTTATTTTTCAATTTCAAAACAAAATATATTATTGTTCTTTTCTTTCAATTATCATCTATGGTTAAAAGTATCAACTAAATAAATTAAATAAAAAGGAACCTTGTAACAACAGAATTTTCTTTACATGTCCCGTCGTCTGGTCTCAATGTACAAGCGCCGGGATCTAAAAAAAGAAATAAAAATGGTATTGTACGTTTCTTCAGGGTACCAAACTAAAAAGATATAGTAGAAAAACTGTAGATGGGTAACTATTAGGTTACTTTTCTTTACCTAATTCCGGTGGCAAGTTTTATTATTTAAGAATTCGAATTTATTATCGTGAAATATTAAATAATATTTCGGAACACTACACACAAATATTGTAAAAATTGCCACCAAAATTAGGTATAAAAAGTAATCTGAAAATTACTCAGATTCGTTAACGTAGTTAGCCATCTTCTTTATATTTAAGATATTTCTTAAGTTTTATTTACACACTATAATCGGAAATTCATTTTAATCGAATAATTTTTTATCTTTTTAATGTTTTACCTTTTTACGTAATTATATAAAAAACACCACAAAGGAGGTTCTTTTTTTATTAGAAAGAGGGTACCACAGAAGTGGTCCCATATAAATTGAAGAAAATATTCCACCTCTAAGGGTGGCAAACTAGGGATGAATGACTTTTCAGGTCGGTTTTTTTAGTACATAGATCGAACACTAAGAAAGAATTCCTTCGATGCGGCTGGATTCTAAACAACGTCTACCAGCAAACCGCTATGCCAACTAAGCCACGGAACGAACTAGGGGACCTTACGAATTTATGTGCTTATTGCAGATTTTTGTATTTGGTTGTTAACGACTTTTTTGCCAAAGAAGGATGGCGACATCCCATGTATTTTGTGATCCAGTGTTTTTGACGACGTGCATTAAGGAGACCTATCAGTGCTTGTCATTAATTATCAAAACACATTGTCCTGTGTTTTGCTTCAGATGTTTGTTCGTAGTAGCAGAAAATAACAAGATTTCAATTTATTCCCAAAAATAATAAAGAACTTCCCGAATATTCCCAAATCTGCCAAACTCTGCCACATTTAATATAACTTATCATATTCTGCAGTAATGAAAATGAATAAATTTATTATTATCACTAGTAACAGGTTTCTTACCACGGTATAACTTCTTTTTATTTTCCCGATATTTCGGAACGGTTGCACGCTCCATGGTTGCTCCCGGGTTGAGTCAACCCGTGACCACTAGTGATAATCATTTAGTGAATAACCACGAAAGTCTTAAAATCTATATAAATTTATTATATTATAAAGTTATTTATAAAGCAATTACACGGAGAAGATAAGAGAAAAGACAATTGTCTTTTTAGAAAATACCTTTTCCAAAGGCGTTTTATTATTTTTTTTAAATAACTTTTTACAGAAGCTTCTTAAAACAGTGAAAAAAAAGTATTTATATAGAAAAATTAGGTAGCAAATTGTTACATAAAAAAGTAAATTATATACTGCTAGAACCACGAAAAACGTAAAGTAGTCTAGCCAACCTGGCGTTGGAATGGCTGGCCACTTTTCTTTAATACTTTCGTTAGCGCAAAGGCAGAAAATATGTCAATAAAGGTACTAAATAGTAAAAAAGAGGCAGTAAATAATGAGCACAGTCTGATTTGTATATCTCCTTTGGTCCAGCCATCATGACAGACACCAGAAAGCTGCCACAAATGGTCACACTGTTCTCAATATATCAATGTGAGGCATTGACTTACAAATAAATGGACGACGGGTCTAATACAAAAACCACGAAAAAAATGTCCCAATCAACCTATTCGAAATTTAAATTGTTATGTCATCGCAGTATCGCGCTGTCCGTAGAACAAATGAAGACTAAAGCGGAGTGTCGCGCTCTGTATACGATTTTAGCGCCTTACAAGTGCGGACACTTTTTAGCGCGGAGCCGACGTCCATATAATTGTAAGTCAATGATGTGAGGATTCTCTTTGGACCTTTTGGACAGAAAAGTGTCGTTTTTATTTTGACTTTCAATTATTTTGTGAATTCTAGTTTAAAGTGGAATAGGATAGTGCTATTGTGCCTTAATCGAAGATTAAAACGCGAAATTATACGAATCTCGAACTAGAATACCCGTATCGGCCCGTTTTAAGGAATCCCGAGTCAATCCAAGCACGCCGCCGTCTCAAATTGCCTATCCTCTTTGTGGCGGCCATATTTACAGAAACATAATTAAACTTCATGTTTAGGCTGATGACTTTGCCAAAGCCTTAATAAATTAAAATATATATATCAATGTGACATCGACATTGGCAAGAGGTCTCTTGTCACAACGTTCCTTTGCAACTTTCATTATCTCTTTGTGTTTAATTTTTTGCTTTATGGTTTATGTCACTACTCTTTAATTGATTAGTTCATTAGGTATTGTTTTATGTGTGTACTATAAAATAACCAATACTTCAGATAGGTAAACATTCAATCATGCTTACAATGAAACGTACGTACACGAACGTTACCTGATCTATGGTCGAACTGAATAAAAAGCAATGTGTTTTTGCATCTTTTCTAAAATGTTTTACAATTTTATTTATTCCCGACTTCTAAAAATATACAAAAATATATTGAAACTAGGCATAAACTAAAACGCAAAAATATACTAGCAAAGTCCATGAACGGCTCTGTTACGGACGGCCGTATGCGCCTGGCCGGTCAGAGCTAGAATTGAGAGGAAAACGAATAATTCAGGAGCTCTGATTGGCCGAGCAGCGTAGCGACCCATTGATAGGACCGGTACGGTGTGGGAGACACCGTACCGGTATAAGTATAAGCAAATATTGTTCTTATTACTTCTTCTTTCACTTTGATTAGATTCATTCGTATTCTTGCACCTTAGTGACGTGTTCATGATTGTAAGTTAGATCGACATAAGTTTTTATGTGAATATACAGTCCACTTCTCAAAATTAGGGAGTTTCATTTGAGAAAAGATATCGAAGGCGGTTACCCGACAGATTAAGGATCGGCGCCGTTGCTTTCGTCAGTTCCAGGTTCAATAGGCTCTTCGTTGTTATTGGGACAGCTTTCACGGGTTCTTTGCACGAAATTTGCGAAATAGTATAAGATTATAATGTATCAGATGCACAAAAGGACACTCCCCGCACGATTTACCATTCCTTTCCTGTATACGTCTGTATCTTACGCCGATTGACAAATCCTTTCACCATGATGGCAAACTTTACAGTGTATGCCATCAATAAGATAAGAAGTAATATTCTACGTAAACTTACAAGGGTTGCATGTTTTTTGGCACACTTCCTCCGAGGCAAAATTGTTCGGGTTGCCGTAGCATCCTCCGTAAACGAATTTCTCACATTTTTTGTCCTGATCGTTCCAATAATATCTGAAAAGGGTAAATGAAAACAAACCCGTTAACTTGTTTTTAAAAATATCGTTGAAATTAAATCCGTATAGGTTAAACTCCTGAGGCCCCGTGTATCTAAAAATTTACATAATATGTGAAGTGATACAGACCCAAATACTATTCACTGTATGATCACGTAAACGCCCAATGAAAATATCGCATTCAAATTCAGTGCTACATATTCTATATGACCGTAGGGTATCTAGAAAAATATGTGTTTCATACTAAACTGAGGGCATACTTTACTACTTTGTACGTTTTAATGTACATTGGGCATTTAGTGCATTTAACTTTGTATTTTGTAGGAACTTAGAAACTTAACAAAGCTATTCTCCATTTTAAATTCTTCCTCCTTTAAATATTAACGACTAAAATCAATGCTATTCATTAGACATGAATAATTAGAGTCGTGGTTAACCCAAGCTCATCAATGTTTCAAGACTATTGTCGCGTTGTACACGTAGAATGCGTTAGATGTATTTTGAAAAATCATAAATTGAGTTTGGTGGCCCGCCCGTTCCCGCCATTACGACGCTTGATATTGGTGTGAACGGACGTATCGCACGCGCATGTTAAAACCAAACTAATGTTATTTTATTGAACCATCCCTGCACAAAGGGTAGACACGTCACACTGAGGGTCGTATTCTAGAACTCTACTCAATGCTCAAGTCAGGATTCCACTGGAAATACAAGCACTGGAAATACGACCCTAATGGCAGGGACTTGAGTATGATTTCGAGTGCTTTAAACCATACTCAAACCCTGACTTGAGCATTGAGTAGAGTTTTAGAATACGACCCTAAGTATGCTAACATAATCATTTATAGAGTTACAATATTATTCACTATTCTGACCTCGCTGGCCCAACGGTTTGCACTGTAAGACCAATTTTGGGAACTGAACTTTTCTGACTTGGTCTGGGTGATCTGGGTAGTGCCTCGGAGTGAATTCCGTTGATCTGTTATTATTATTCTGTTCTTCTTTCTCAGCCTGTAGGCTGGTTCGAACACAAGTAAATGCAGTATGGCATGTATCTATGTGGAGGTGTGTAATAAGACTACTTGGTCCTCTTCAATTTGCATGAACTTTCTGACAATGCGGCAGGTATTTGAAATTGCAGTTTTTTACAAGGTAATGTATTATTATTATTTTTTTTTGAATTTTTCGGTGCATATAAATGGGTGATGATTGTAGTAATTCTAGTCGTGGATAGATATGAGCGCTGCGTCGGCTTACCGCCGCCGCCGCCGCTGTGTTTCCCCCCCCCCCCAAAAACAAGTGTTTCCCCCCCACCGCCGCCGCCTACGAATGCAATCGCAATACAAGGCGCGCCGTTCAGTTTTGTTCGATCAGGCGCTCCGATCGTACGCACGAGCACGCTTATTGTATATGCGTAGTGAAAATGGCGACGCCAGAAATTGATATTTCTAAGAAAAATCTTAGTGACTTAACATTCGAAGATGTTTTGTTTACAACATTAATTTTGTCAATTTCTGGCGTCGCCATTTTCTCTACGCATACAATACGGAAGCGTGCGCGTGACTTTTTTTATTAGATTTTTTCTTTTGAAGAAGTATTTGTATAATGGTTTTGTAAAAATAAACACCGTTATACAAATTAATAGTAATAATAACGCACACACTCAACATAGCCCCGTACTAGGGAAACCCAGTGTCGCAGGTGCCATGGACACACACATAAACAACCACTAATTACACCCAAAGTCACGAGAGAAATTAATGTAAAAAAAACTGTAGGCTATACAAATATTTCTCCCGGCCCGGAATTGGAACCTGGGACCTCTGCGTGGCAGTCTGGTATGGTAACCGTTCGGCCACTGAGGCACTTAAAATTCGTTTCATGATCGCGCTCGCGCCACCGAAACGCCTCCGCTCCACCGCCGATTGGTCTATTATAGACGCTCATATCTAGTCGTGGAACAAAAGTTGTTGTGTATGATGTAAGTAATAATAGACCCGCGAGGTTGTTAGTATTTTAAAAATAAACCTGTACAGATGTGTCACTCATTTTCGACATTTTGACATTTACGCCAAATGAGCCAAAAGGTGTCGATAGGTAACGAATTGCATTCCTGTATCGAATGGATACAACGTAATTTAGTTAATACAAACATTGATAATAAAGAAATAAAAAACTAACCTCTGTCCATTAGCTAGGCATGGTCCTGAATCTGCAGCCAATCTGCAAGCATCGGGATCTAGAAACGAGAAAATCATTAAATACTATTTATACCAAAAATAAAGGAGAAACTGAGTGTAACAATTGATACTGTAATGCTCTGGCCACACCGAGGAGGCTGCGTATGAGTTCCGGGCGCGGGAATTTTTGTAATGTACGAGGGTAGCAGCGGGCGCGGTCCGCTTTAGCGGGCTTTGGCTTTGTATTTGCTTACAATTTATTTTTTTATATTACTTCCGTAACGCATTTATTAAAAAGCAGAAAATTTTCTAGATCATTATCCAACAGTGGTGTGATTTATTCTTTAAAATCTGTGTTAACAATGAAATGTGGCCGCTATTCCGTGGCGACTTACGCTTGGGACTGCTATGTATTAGGCCCCGGTACGTATTCGCTTACCTCCTCTGTGTGACCTGAGCTTTATTGTCTAGCTCCGCTTCGTGAGGAGATAAGAGCATGCGCAATTGAATCTGAACTCTGTGTTAGGATGGTTTAGAGATAACCCACGATAATGTCTTACTCCAAATTCCGTAGGACATTTATAATATATGTATATACATGTTTAAAAACTCCATACAGAGATTAAAATCCAATCAACCCGGGTTTTAATCCATTTCAGTTCAAAATCGTAGGCGGAAATTAGAATTTGAAAAAACATGGAATTTGGTATGATTCCATACTTATTAGAAATACGATGTTAAAAAATCTGTTTTAGACGAAAAAGAGGCAACTCTACACCATACCTTCCTTCCAATTGGGACCTACACTCTTCCTAGTGTATATAAACGAACTCTGTAAACTGACACTTCAAAACTCACAAATTTATACCATGCAGATGACACCGCCATCATTGTGCATGGACAAACGTGGCCAGAGGTAAAGGAACGAGCAGAGTGTTCCGTACGTATGGTAAAGCAATGGCTCAATTCGAAATACCTAACAATAAATATGGATAAAACATACTTCATTCCTTTCTCGATCACAACTGTTTCTAAACCATCATCCTCATACTCTTTAATAGCACACACCTGTACCGACCAACGAGTACGCCACTGCAACTGTGTCAAGATCAATCGTGCGACTCACGTCAGATATCTGGGAGTGCAGATTGATGAACATCTGAATTGGTATACACAATTAACATCTCTAGCCTCCAGAGTAAGAAAGCTTATATATGTATTCAAACAGCTGCGTGACTGTACGGATTCATCCACTTTAAGCATGATATACAAAACCCTATGTCAGTCTGTTATCAGTTACGGTATTTCAACGTGGGGTGGTGCAGCTAAGACCAGATTTCTTGAGCTGGAGCGTGCTCAGAGAGCTGTCCTAAAAGTAATATCCAAGCGACACTTCAGATACCCCACAGAGCAACTCTACTCAGAGAGTCAAGTTCTTACAGTCAGGCAGCTTTTTGTGCTTAAAGCCATACTAAGAAAGCATCGTCTAGTGCCTCCACCACAATCTAATCAACGTCTGAAAAGACTCGTATGTCATGGTGAGCACCATATTACCACCTTTGCAAGTAGACAGTTTTTTGTTATAGGCTCTCTTCTGTACAATAAATTACATAAAATTCACAATCTCGTTGGCTTATGCAATTACGAAGTTAAATCTAAATTGGAAAATTGGCTAAAGACTCTTGATTACACGAGTACTGAAGCTCTACTAGATTATAATTATTAAATTGATAAAATTAGTAAATATTACTTTTAATTTAAACTTGAACTTGATTTCATTTTAACTTGAATTGAATTAATCTTTATACACATACACTCTCACTCACACACACACACACACACACCACACACTTACACACACTTACACGTCCATTTATTTATACAGGTCACGAAGTATATTTTATTTCTTTCTTTATTTTCTTACTTCTTCATTAGAATTACCCTTTTAGAAATTATAAAATCTCATTTTTTCTTTTTGTTTGTTACACGTATGCCTATCACTATAGTTGTAAACCATAACCGTACAGACTCACTTATATTTATATACTTTATAATGATTGGATTCAATGGAAGTTTTGATTTTATGTAAAAGTTACCCCTAACTGAACACTGCCTCCTAAGATACAGTCTTTGACTAGTTTAGGAGACAGAATCTCCAAATTTGGTACGCCTTATTTTATATTTTGTGCTACGTTATATCTATAGCAATAAAATTTTGTTAAATAAATAATAAAATTGCTGCTCTGTACTAATTATAAGGCAAAAGTGTTAATAAAGATATTATTATTATTATTATTATTAATTCTGTGGACTCTCACATACTTCGAGGAGTGAACATTACGAATCGATTTTCATCAAAATCGAATGTGTACAATAGCAAGCGCATACGATAACGAATTTTGTAACGAATGTCATACGTTTCTTAACTTCTGACTTCAAAAAAAAAGAGTAAGTTCTCAATTCGCCTCTCTTTATTTGTGATAAGTTCCGACTCCGAGAAATGACGGTCCGAAATGTCACAGGCATAATTTTATCTCTAGGTGTACAAGGGATTTCGCGAAAGAATGCGGACGCGTCCCCGCGTTCCCGCCACAAGGTGCGTGGAGGAACACCCCCGGAGTCCCACATAACCCCGCGCCTCCCCCGGGCGCACGGCATTCGTAACGCATTTCTCCGGGTAAAAAAAAGGTGTACAAGCGATATTCGTATTTTATCGGATTCTCAATCGACGTCCAAAGTGGATCCGAGTTTTCTAGGTTTGTATAGTCTTGAAACGCTTAGCCTTCAAAACTGCAACGCAATAATGCGCACATTATAGCTTGGCGGCAGATATGTAAGGTGAGGATATGATAGGTAAGGTGGCAGTACTTTCCTGGACAAACTGTTCACGAGCAACTCTACTGCTACGAAAGCTTGTGATTCGTGCAATATTTTTTATATCTTAGCGCCATCTAGTTTCTACACACTGGTACTGGACACCATTATTAACAGTAGTGGTGGTTAAACATAGTAAAATAACGTATTAAATTTGTACTAACAGAAGTTGCACGCGCCATTGCAAGCTTCAAATGTTTCAAAATTGTTCTTGTTGCCATCGCATCCCCCGTAACTGAATTTCTGACATTCTTTCGCCGTGTCATTCCAAAAGTATCTGAAAACAGTAAATAATATATATAATATAATAAAAAATAGTCCCTCATACTTGGGGCTTGACTTAAGAATTTGTTTTATGATATTAAATGACGGGACGAGCCAGTCGTGAGCCTGATGATAAGCGACGCATCCGCCCATAACAGTTGCGGTACCACTCGGAGGTTTAAAGACCTGAGAGTCTCTCTGAGATATAAAGTTGGCTAGACTCATGTACACTTCCTTCAAAACCGGAACGCAGTAATGCTCACATTACTGCTTTATTAAATGTTGGCAATATATGTTAAAGAGTTCTTTATTTGTTAATTTTATATAATATTGAATACAGTCATTGACTTACAATGTAAGTCAGTGACTGTATTCAATACTTTTTTTATAATATCAAGTGACTAGACGAGCAAGTCGTGTGCCTGATGGAAAGCGTGTAACTTTCCACTGCACTGCCACTGCGCCCGTCACCCTGATACATAAATTGACAAGTCCCATTGTAATTTCACCAGCACCCTTACCCTTCGAAACCGGAACGCAGTAGTGCTCACACGACTGCTTGGCGACAGAAATAGATAAGGTGGCGGTACTTCCCTGGACGAACTCTTTCACAAGGAGCTGGACTGCTACTTAATAGTCACATTATTAATTTCGGATAAAATAAAATAGCAAACCAACCGACTTCGAAAAAGGAATAGGTTCTCAATACCATTGGTTTTCTTTGTGTATGTTAAGAATTTACTCCGACATTTGTGAATCGATTTATATTATTATTTTACTGGTAGGTTGGTAAACAGCGACTGAACATCAAACCTGACCATAGTATCACCACCAGTTAGGGTCGAAACGCAAAACCGCGATGCGACGTTGCATCGCAGAAATCCAACGAGCTCGCATGACGCATCGCAAGAATTTGCGAATTGCTCAACATCGCGCATTTCTGTGATGTTAGTTTTCTTTGTGTTTTTTTGCTATACTTTCTTATCAATAACAGCAGTGCAACACTCTTTTTACGATCCATGTTGCTAACAAGTTTAAGAAATACGTTCAGTACTGTTTATGATCGTCGAAGGAATGGTTACCCGAACCGTGGCAGTGAGATGCCTTGCCACACGAAGTCGCATCGCAGTTTTGTCGTTTGACCTTAGATCTTTGATTTCACTGATGATTTTCTTTTGGAAAGACGGTACCTAAGTATGGATCCCATTCAAATTTGATGGTTTCTCCGTACCACCAGTTTGGGATCCAGTATTTCCCCTGATGAAAAATCCCAAGCTGACACAAGATTGCCGTTCTAATTATTATATTTTAATTCGTTATAAATTCCATTACTAAGTAATAATAAATTTATTTTAATAAAAATGCATATTAAGAATATTATAAATAACATATTTAATTCATAACTTCTAGAATTACAGTTAAAAATACGGTAGTTTGCATTAATATTAGACGTAACTGGTTGATGACTGTACCACCACAGTCAACCGTAACCATAAGGTCTTTAAAGGACCCGAAACGTGGGTTTGTTTGAAAAGAAAAAACAAATATACGCAATTTAAATCCAGATAAAGTAGTTTCATTTTCTATATTATTAACAACGTTCTATTGTCTTTGGCATAGACAATTCACTTGATATGTAAAACAATTAAGTACCAACCTTAAGAAAGCACCTGCACATGGCCCTGTCTCCGATTGCAAGTTACAAAATCTTGGATCTAAAACGAAATATAAAAAAGATTAATTGTGTAACTCTCAAAAAAATATTAGATTGTAACAAACTGGCCGACTATACTTCGCCTACCTATCGTACAAGTGATAATATACAAATGTAGGAAAATATATTTTTTTTATATTTTGGTTGAGATAATTTGTTATCAATATTATCATTAGTACTAGCACCAAATGAAATATTAGCTTATTAAGGCGCCTTCAAATAGGCACTTTTAGCGCTATAGTGGCGCCACAGTCGTGACACGTGTGCATCAATTTTGCAGTCAGAATTAGGGATAAATCACACTCGGATCGAATCGGGGCGATCATGTTTTAAACACACTTGTCGCATTAACCTGATTCGCCGCCGACGCGACCGTCAACGCGGCTACCCGTTTGGGCGTCGTCACGAGCCTTTGAGCGTGACCGTGACCTTTCGGCGTCGGTGAAGACGTACGGGTATCGACGCTGCCGATCAGCCGTCGGCGTTTTTGTACAGACGCGATCGGAAATTTTTCGATCGATTGATCGGCAGATTCGTCGCTAAAGTGTGGCGCGCTGATGCGAAACGCATAACGTCTTTTTAGCTCTTATTATATGGACATAAATACTTAACTGCCTCCGTGGCCGAACGGTTACCATGCCGGACTGCCACGCAGAGGTCCCAGGTTCGATTCCCGGGCCGGGAGAAATAGTTGTATGGCCTACAATTATTTCTCTCGTGAGTTTGGGTGTAATTTGTGGCTGTCTATGTGTGTGTCCATGGCACCCGCGACACAGGGTTTTCCCTAGTGCGGGGCTATGTTGAGTGTGTGCGTTATTGCGTTAAAGTTCTTCTGGTCGGCGTAATGAGATTCCATGTCTATAAGTGTGGTTTATCCATTAGCAAACAAAAAAATTCTGCAGCACTACAGACGCGCGGCTGTCGCGCCACTGTCGCAGCACTTCTTCAGCGCTTCGTCAAGCGTTTAATTTGAAGGCGCCCTTAGAATCATGTATATAGGGTGAAACTTAGAATAATAACGCATAGAATGATAGTTTCATATCAAATGAACTGTCACAAGTGAGGCAAAAATCGAATTCATGTAGGCTAGTTTTAGTAGTAGGTTAATTTTCGGTTTTAATGAATATTTATTTAAAAATACAAGTTGAAACGCGTTACTTCCTTGTGGAATGTGATGTTAGTATCTATTTTATGTTTGTCTGACGTATTTTTACACTCATTTACCGCACATTTCGTCATTTTTAGCTAAAATTCTTGATCTATTCGCGGTGCAAGTTGACCTTGAGCACTGACGGCCCGCCCGCTCGTGTAGGCCCATTGGGAGCGTTTCAATTTGTCTCATTTAGCGTGTGCTGACTATGTTTCTATGCGTTATTAATCTAAGGAGTGAAATATGAAATAATTAAAAAGACACGCACGCATTTCGTTGCGGTTTGTGCACGTGTCACTTTTCAATTGGTACCTTTTTTATTTGTCAACCGATTTAAATGAAACAAGTATTTAGTACTTCACTAACGTGACCATAAGTACGCTTTGAGCGGGACAGTCCCGCTTTTAAGTTTAATGTCCCGCTGTCCCCAAAATACTTGACAATGTCCCGCTTTGACAGAACAATACACATGTGACAGTAATCTAAAAGAATGGCGCGAAAGGGAAAAATATATAAAGCCAGCCCACCAGACTACACAATTTTTTTTAAACATTACACATTTCGTAACTATCATAAACACGTATTTTATTTTTAAAAACAATAACAAATGTACAGTGGCTAGGCGTATGGCCTGTTTGACTTGCTGCAGCACTCACAACTTGCTTTTAATTAATTAGCAGATATTTGTTGTTTATTATGTATATTTATTTGATTTCCTACCTTTTTGTTATTTTGTTTGTTTTGTTTTGCGTATTTTTGTCTACCTTTTCTTCGTTACTTGTTGTTTCATATTGTTGTGTGTGATTGTGGAGAGTCAATAAACGTATTCTATCTATCTGTCTATCTACAACTGACGAAAATTCTAAAAACTGCGCTTTAGGTATAGAAGAAAGTCTTCAGTAGGTAGCTACGCCTTTCATTTTTGCATAGTAAGCATTAATTTATGTTGTCTACGGACTGATAACAATAGATTTCCATAAATCACGCTAATTTGGTCACCACAACATTTATGCGGGTTTGATTTGACGACAAAATTATCGCAATGGAGAGTCATAATCAAATGCTAGTTACGTGTAATTGCATTATCCCCGACGTTTTGCTTTGTGCAAACTCTGCTTCTTTACTATTTTATTATAATAATATGTAATTATATAAACTCACATGGGTTGCAATATCGGTGGCAATCAGATAATGTTTTGAAATTGTTGGCGTTGCCGTCGCATCCTCCGTAAGTAAATCTGCTACAAGTTTTCGCTACATTATTCCAGTAATATCTGAAAGTGTTCAATGACAACAAAGCTTTTAGATTGTTTATGAAAATAGAGTTCGACGGTAAAATTGTCAACGTTACATTTAAGTTTATTTTGTCAGTATGACATTTATAGACATTTTATAGCAACCGCGTCTTCATCGCTAGACGAACTGAACACTGAACTATACTCACCGATCTTAACTGTAACCACAATCACAGCGCCAGCTCGCACGAGCTATTAATGGCAATTTGACTGCCTCAGTGGCCAAACGGTTACCATGCCGGACTGCAGAGGTCCCAGGTTCGATTCCCGGGCCGGGAGAAATATTTGTATGGCCTACATTTATTTCTCTCGTGAGTTTGGGTGTAATTTGTGGTTATCTATATGTGTGTCCATGGCACCCGCAATACAGGGTTTCCCTAGTGCGGGGCTATGTTGAGTGTATGCGTTATTATTATTATTACTATTATTATTTTAAAAATGTTGTATATAGGCCGGCGAGATATCAAGTGTCATCCTCGTGTCGTCTCGCCTTGCTGATGGAAAACCACCTTAATGGACCTTTCAGAGTGGTTACACATGGCCACTTTTAGCAGCGATGTAAACGCGCGACTGCATCGATACAAACGCGCGATTGCAATGGCCTATAAATCCCAAGTGTATTGAAACAGTCGCGCGCTTGCATCGCTGCTTAAAATCGCGCGCGTGTGTAAAGATAGACGATTAGCGACTGCGTCGCTGCTGCAACGCGTTGACATCACTGCTAAAAGCGCCGTGTGTAACCGCTCTTAGTTCACCCTAAAGTCAAGTAAGTCAATTTCAAGACGGTCTTTGCTTATTATTTTTTTATATATTTTTGTTTGTTCATTTAAATCAGGCTATTATGACTCATGACAATATATACCTTAAAGACTAAAATACATATAATATAATATAAAAACTTAATCTACACAAATTGTACTTGTCAGCGACGACGTGTGGCGCTAGCTGGTGTCAAGTACATACGCACTTTTTATGGGGTTATGTTAAATCGTAGGTTTATGTCAACAAACCGACTACTTTAAATGAACTCATGAACAATATCAAACGCGAAATTGTCAACGTTTCGGTCGATATGTCGACCCCGCCTACGTAATGTATCGTATGTCGAAATTGCCAAGTTTACAGAGGAGCGTTTTGAAGATTTGAATTCACTGAAATGAGCATCCCACGTGACACGTGACTTTTACACGTAACTTTTTAGTTTTATTCGGCAAAGCTCGTTACTCATATAGAGTATTATAAAATCCTAGATATTAATTAGATGAACAACCACAATTTATTTTATAGTTTTATACTGCCACGTTAATTCAAACACATATAGAACTGAAAACTTTAAATCGTTCCCCTGTAAACTTGGAAATTTCGACATACGATACTTTACGTAGGAGTGTCGATGTGTGGAAGAGTGGTAGAAAATTGGCTCCAAAAAATTGAACGCTGCAAACTTGCTCGCGGTGGTCATATGAACGAAATTGAACTCCATTCTTAATTAAGTAACATGTGTCCTACACGTGGTATAAATTTCATCTTGATATCTCAATTATTCTGTGTTTCCACTGACCACAGACCATTGACTTACAAATAAATGGACGACGGGTCTAATACATAAACCACGAAAAAAATGTCCCAAGTCAACCTATTTAAACGTAGTGACATTTCAAGGAATATGAAAAAGCTAAAACGTTGAATTTAAACTGTAGTGTCATCGCAGTACTGTCTAATTTAGCTTGCTTCGCTGTCAGTCAAACAAACGAAGACTAAAGCGTGAATGACGCTCTGTATACGATTCTAACGCCCTATAAGTTCGGACACTTTTTAGCGCGGACCCGACGTCCATATAATTGTAAGTCAATGCCATAGACTGAGCACACTGTGCATTGAAGTTAGCTCAGAATATGGATATTGCTGCATATTATCTTTCGATGCCTTACTTACTCAAACTCGTATCTTATAAAGAGTCATTATTCAGGAGATGGCAAAACCTTCTATTTATCAAGGGTGTTAATTTCGAAGCATTACTTTAAGAATAGGTGAAAGCCAGTGCGTTAATATGAAGGAAATGTGGTGTGAAATCACCTTACAAAATTGGTATATACAATCCATTTTATGCATTTCAGTAACTTTGTGTTTTAAGATATGAGTTTGAGAGAGTAAGGCGTCGCTTTGTTTTGTTTCGTACAACCATATATGAGTGTGTAATAGCTTTGAAATGCATTGTTAATATGTCTATCAGTTTGCCTGTTTAACCACTTTTTGTTTTATTTATTAATACAAAAGATCGTATACAAAGAAAAATTGCTTCAATCCGGCTGGATTCGAACCAGCGCTTTCAACATAGCGTGTCTGACGTTCTCCCTACTGAGCTTCAAAAGGAACCAGCAGATCTAATGAATTTCCCTACGTGCTTGTTGCAGTAGTTTTTTTTATTTTTAACGATTTTTTGCCGAAACGCCATCTGTTACAAATTTATGAAAGTTTTTCTTCGTGTAGTAGGTACCTTTACAGCTACCAGGGACTGACAAGAGATGTCGCATTCGCTGTTTGTCGCACAATAAAAAAGTAAAAATAATAAACAGTAAAAAATACTAACCTGTCAATTTTGTCATCGCATGGGCCTCGATTTGGTAACAATTTACAAAAATCTGGAGCTGAAAAAGAAATAAAAAACCAAATTGATAAATCCGGTTGTAACAAAAATCTATACTCATTTTATACCTAGTTATTGTACTCCTAATAACAAATATATAAAAAAAATCTTAATAAAAAATAGCATTATAATCCATTTGGTTAGGTACTTAACCAAATGTAAACAATCTTGAGATGTCTATTTAATAAAATATACATTTATAAAATAATTTTTACTTACCTTCAAATACAAATTACAAATATTTCGCTTCATATGAAATTGCATGCCTATTTTTATACCTATTGATTTGTAAAGTATGTTTCAATAAAAAGATGTATCAAGATTGTTTACATTTAGTTAAGTACCTAAGCAAATGGACTAGAGAAACGTACACAAATCAAAAGTGTCTATTGATCTAGGGAATTTAAAAAAAATATTTGATTATACTATTAAAGTTAAACAAAGATATTTTCATAAAGGACGAAGACCGATGCAATTTGCATGCCCTAACCTTAAACTGGCATGCCCATAAACTTAACATGGCGCATTTTGAGAGTCTATACTTTGCAAGCAATTTGCTTAAAATAATGCACACACACACACACACACACACATACACATACACATACACATACACACACACACATACATACACACACACACACACACACACACACACACACACACACACACACACA